TTTTGATTCGCTAACAGGTTGGACGATTTGCTTGATCGTGACCAAGTTGCTAGCTGGACAGTTTACATGGTCGACTTTTTCAGACCCCGAAAAAGGCGATATAGCCGAAACGTCGGTCGAATTAAGAGATATACCAATCTTGTGCAAGCTGAACAAATCAGTGAAAGATATGTACGCCTGTACGATGCCAAGATTAATTGACAGTCGATCGTGGATAACTTTAGAAATATTTTTACACTTTTAGGCCCGTATGCACGTACATCCCCGCGGGGAGGGGAGGGGATCTGAGAGGGGAAGCGTCATATCTCGCTAGTTTATATATCTTTCTTCTTCTTTCTCTGTCTTGCTTTTGAAGGTTCACATACACTGATACTTGCGCACAACGGATGCCAGGTTACTGCCATACAAGATTAGATATTCACTATTTCGTCTGATCCCCTGGGGGATCCGCGTAGTTTCAAAGTCATTTATCTTCCTGAAAATCCACTGAAAATGCTGTAAAATTGTACTAACGATATACTACAGCAGTGCTAAACATGTTTATGGTAGAAATGAGTGAAATCTTGAGATATCCAAATTTTTGATGAGCCGCTGCTCGCGAGCCAGGGATCATCGAAAAAATCAAAATCTTCATAATCCATCTCTTCTGTCGAAAACATGCTCAGCAGTATCGTAGTATATCTTCAGTACAATTTTGCAGGGGTTTTATTGAGTCTTCAGGGAGGTAAATGACTTTGAATATGTGAGGTGATCCCCTAGGGATCCCCAGGGGATCAGACGAAATAGTGAATATCTAATCTTGTATAGCAGTAACCTGGCATCCGTTATGCGCAGGTATCAGTGTATGAGAACCTTCAAAAACAAGACAGAGAAAGAAGAAGAAAGATACATAAACTAGCGAGATATGACTCTTCCCCTCTCAGATCCCCTCCCCTCCCCGCGGGGATGTACGTGCATACGGGCCTTAGTTATGCAATAAGGCTACAATTGTTCTTGATCCTAAGCATGAAGATAGTGAAGTATAAAAGATTATTCTGACGCTTTTCCTTACTTTTCCTTACAAGATGCAAATCTCGATTAATGCTCTCTACGAAATAAAACTTTGGACGAATGAAAAAATCTTTTTGAAAAGTTCAAAGTTTGCGCTTTTTTATTGCGGGAAAAAGCTCACTTGAATATGAGTTTGTTTACAGGTGCCAACGCCGTTTTTTTTGATTTTCAACACCTATCTGGGCTTATAAAGAGCAAAGAAACTCTTTCAGATATCACTCTGGATTATAATGGGTATCAAAACCCGTCCCATTTACATAAAAATGTCTTTCTGGCGATGAAAATTCCATTGCCATATTTACAAAACAAAAAAATCGTTTCAATTTAGAGTTACTGATTGGGGAGTTTGTCGACTTCAAACATGCAACTGCACTCAAATTCTGTTGTATGCGCAAGTCAAACTTACATCTGACTTTTCTCGCAAAAGCTGTGCGAGATATCCGTCCTTTAAAAAACGTCCTTTGCTCATTGAAACAATTGGCTCACTTTGCCAAGAATTGGAAATTCAAATTACTGAATCACAAATGGGGCATATTTGTATGCAGATTGGTCAGTATTCCAAACTTTTTTTAAGAAATTTTTTCCATATTAGCGTTCCAAAATCGTTAAAATCATAAAAGTAGCAGTGATAGTTGCCCAGCAACTACATATAATCTCTTCAGCTCTAATCATGCCTGTTAAGTCTGCAGAAACAGGCCTATTTTTGGTCAATCGTGTATATGAGAGGCGAATTTCAAGGGCTACTTTTCGAAGATAGGCTGAACATGGTCCCTGCAGGAAACTTGCTCCTCCAAACAGCTCAAAGTTATAGAAGTTGAGAAATTTCTCAAGAGTAGATATTACTCTGTAAATAGATGGCACTTGTAGGCCAGTACTCCGCCTACAAGTGCCACCAATTATGGTACTTGTACCTCCCGAATACGAGTTTATGTTTGAAGCGGTAAGGAAAGGAGTATTTTTAAAAACTCCACTTTACCTCTAGCTCTCTTCAAAAAGAGCGATTTTTGTACAAGTTGTAAGGTGATGGCCATCGATTATCAAAATAAATTTCTCGAAACCTTAAAGGGTCTCCATTTTGAGAATAAAACTTTTTTGTGCTCGCTCAGATTACGACAAATATTTCAACTTGAGTTATTTGTCTTAATCTAGGGAAGCACAAGAAAATTTTTATCGCAAAATAAAATGTGGAAAAGAAAAGAAGAAGCTGCGCAGAAAAAGCTTTTGTTCTCATCAACAGGCACTACTTTTTGTACTTTGATGTCGAAGAGTGGACAGTCTGCATGTCAAAAGAGAAAGACAACAGTTCAGTCATTAGAAATTCTATCGCTTCAGTGAAATATTGGCTGAATCGCGAGCATCAAACTATGTTAACGCATTCGTTACAAACGCAGCGCAGCTTTCATTAAACTTTTCTAATTTTCTAGTCGCAAGTTTGCTTCAATCCATCTTCTCCAATATATCCATGTTTCTCAAAGGAGACTCAATCAGTTATAAACGCTGTGCTGTCACTCTTCCCTCGCGTATCAGTATAAACCCAAACTAATCAGAATTTTTTTAGAGCACACTCATATTGTTGAAAACAACTATGAATTTCCTGTTTTTCTTTTTCATCCTGGGAGCTTGTTTCCTAGGGTTAACGAATGCGTCGATTAAAACGTAAGCTGAAATTACGTTGTTCTATGCGCAATAAAAACGTTGTGTTTTCAGCATTTTGTTAGAAAATTGTTGCAAGAAATGCCACCCAAGAAGCGGATGGTTGGGCGGCAGACGTCCAACCAAGGAGCAATGCAAATTGTGCGAGAAGATGCTCGAACCCAAAGATGCCTGCGAGAAATGGGGATGGTGAAACAACGAGCAGTCTTTTCCTCAATACCTGTTTTTTCTTGTGATAAGATAAAATAAAGCATTGTGCAGCATGTTTGCAGGGAAATTCAGCGTAAAATACTTTGCTGAGATAGTGTCGTAATACTTAAGCACCTTCACTCTGCAACAAAGTCAACCACTTGTCAGCAACTATGTTTTGTATCAGATCAACCGAAAAATCCTCCTCATGCGATTTAGCGGAAAATACACTGATTAAATTGCTAGAAGAAGATTATTCCAATTGTAAAAGTTTTCTTATTCTTTCCGGTTGTGTTTACCAACTTTTCCACTTTTAATGCATGAATATCTTCAGATCAACACCTCCTGTCGTAGCCCTGTCACCGTCCAGTGGCCGTATTCAACATCGTCACCCACTGGCGACATGGCCCACTTGTCACTGCATCTCGGCATCACGTATAACTTTGAGCTTGTTTTTTGAGCCTTGAGCCAAGATTGGCAATAATGTTTATTTTGGGCTAACGTTTCGGCGGCGTCGCCTTCCTTGGAGCCTGAAAAGGTCAGAAACATTGCAACTTATCCTCTCAAACACCTTGTCAGCCTACAGAAACAAAACTCAACACTATGATAAACACTACTACACTACCAGATGACGAACCAAGCTAGCGCTCACCTCAACTGCCTTGACGATAAACAGAGCGAGTACCACCAACTGAGATAATGCCCTCATTAGTAAACTAGCTTCTTTTATACGCATCTGATCTCGACATCATAGATCAAAACCCACAGAGGTTTTGATATAGGGCCAATTCGTTGGTCACAGCGATGCATTCGTCTTTGCGGTTCATTTTTGGGTTCTTGGATGTTATCTAGAACGCCTCTAGTGTTTTTCGCGCTACCACTTCAGTTTCTCGCGATAGGATCGTGACAGATGTTTCAAAAAATTGATTTTCATGGCATTGCCTGCGATGGGCGCCCAGTGGCGTGGATGTTTTAGATTTTTGAAGGCCATTTAGGTGCTCCTTAATTCTTACGCACAGCGGCCTGCCTGTTTCTCCTATGTATTGGTCCCCGCATGACAAACACGTTATGATCAGGGTAAAGCGGGGGGTGTGGCACACGACTATCGGATACGACCCACCCTTGGGCCAGATCCCGGCACGACCCCCCCCCCCTTCACCCCTGCCCGAACTCTTTCAAGTAAAGGTTTACTTCAACTTTATTCCAAAAGCGCTCCGCAGTCGGTCTCTCGCTATCACACGAAAGCGCAGTGCGAAGAAACGCGCGAAGCAACGCGTTCTGGTGCAGTGAGCTACGATATCATGACTCAAAGTCACGAAAGCAGACGCAACACTCTTCATCATCAAACACAAAGGCACTCAAATTAGCATTTTAAGCAACTTGTAGAACAAAAAAACGGTCAAAAGTAAACAGCCTCATTTTCCTCTATCGGTACTTCAAAGTGATCTACATGATTCTCTTCGTTATCGCCGATGTGCTGTTCGCCATTTACCATTGCCATGTCGAAGTCTGTAACTATATGTTCACAATTTGCCATACAGTAGAACTGGCTACATTTGGAATGGATAAAAATAACAGAATAAGTCAAGAACGTGAGAGAGCGTTAAACTTTTTGATGGCTTGCGGAATTGCACCGTCCTATAGAAAGCTATCTGGTCCAGGATATCAAGCGAAGGGAACGGCTATAGGTTGCCGGCAACTGTTCCGAGACTGCAGATGTTGGCGGGGTTGCCGAGGTTGCCGGGGTCAGAGACAGCCTAGAGCGTGAGAAATGTGAGGCTATCATGAGGTTCTACGACGACCGGCAACGCCGGGAACCTCAGCAACGCCGGCAACCTCGGCAACCACGGCAACCTTGGACACAATTGCCGGCAACCTATGGTCGTTCCCAAACAGACTTTCCCCCAGACCCTTCCAAATAAAAGTTAGAAGAAAAAGTAATTACAAAAGGAACTCGAAAACTAAGCAAAACATGGTGAAAATGTTCAAAAAAAGAAGAAAATCTAAACACCCAAGGTGGCAAAGCCATTAGCTTCAAATCTGTGAATTCAAACAGGAACTCACTTTCTTGAAAAAACAGCAACACGACTTGCCACAAGTATTCCAGGCGCTCATGATAATCCGGCGGCTGTCTGGATTCGTATGAATTTCGTGGATGACGTCCGCTAATTCAACACTTGGCCCTCATAGTCCGCGTCTGGGCCTTTGTACTCGGCGCCAAAATGTCGCCACTAAATGGAAATCGTTCAACGCTGCCGTATTGAAGCGAAAGTTGTAAAAAAGATACCTGGAAACCGTAAACTGGACCAAGATCGCCTTGTGCTCTGCCTGTGAATCCACCCGCGATCCTTTTGCATCCCATATCTAGATTGAAAGATTACCACTGTAGTAAGCAGAATGTCTCTTTTGGTATTAAGGCACTGTCAGACCTCGTTTGAAAGCGCCCAAAAGCGCTCAATTTTTCTGATCTCTCTTCACATATTTCCACCTTTCCTCGCTCCGCGCTAGCCTGGCGCTTTTAGTCTAGCGCAAAAGTGTGAAGAGAAAAGATGTAAGGAGTAATCAAGGATTTGGGTGCTTTTGGGCGCTTTGGATGAAGGTCTAACAGGTGCCATGGGCAGAGTTCACGCAATTTCATCGAATCGCAGTTTTCCCTACAAGCCAACAGTCACGAGTCGACAGTCGATCAACATGCAATGGACTCGTACTGTTGTTTCGTCGGGGAAACGCGAAGAGATGAAGTCTCCTGAACTCTGCCCAAGGCTTATAGCACTCTTCATGAAAGCGATAAGAAACGAGATGAGACAGAATAAGCTCAAAAATGTGGTAATATGGTACATTTGCAGACGATGCACTTTCTGATTGGAAAATACCAACAGCGCATAAGGTAACGTAAAAATTGATAACAATCGTTGAAAGTTGATATTAATAAGAGAAAACGGATTGATCATAGGCAAGCATTGAAAAAAAAACCTTTGCAAACCTTCGTTCTTCTCAGAAAGACGATTGCTGTTTGTATTTCCTTTTATGTACCAAACAACTCTTCAAAAAATCTTTTCCAATACACTTATTTTGTGGTTAGTAATGGAACAACACCTGTAACACTGCATAACAAATAGGGCTGAAGTTTTCTGAAAGAACAATGAGAGAAACAAGTGATGAAAAAGAACAAAAAAGCGAGAACATCACAGCTCATAACGAGAGTGGGATTCAAAGGCGCGTATCTCTCGCCTCTTGTGTTTTGACAATCTTTCGAGCGCTACCGTAACCCAATATTTTTTGGCCACACTTCCCAGCATATGGTTCGCAAAAACCATATGTATTTCCTTTTAAAGAAAAAGGTTCGAGGGGAAACAGCTACTACGGAGAGAGGAAGGATGAATCTATAGGATGATATGAAAAAGGCAGCTGTTTGAACGATTTGAAGGTAAGTTAATGGCCTGCGGCCAACATTTTTAGCGGACAATATTTATATGAATCAATAGCCTAAACCTCATAGATTCCATAGGGATGTTTTGAGCCTGATTCGTCTTCTTAGCTCTGAGTAATATTTGGTGAAAGCACAGCGATCAAAAGCTAAAAGCGATTTTAGTTGGCTTCTAATTCAATAGTTTGGAGGTCTTCTGAAGCGGGATTCCTGAGATGGACAAAGAAGGAGTAGTGCTTTGTATTGAGTGCAAAAAGAGGTAGCTTACTCACCGTTACGATGAAGTTAATTATGTTTTAAATTACTGCTTTATACAAGGTTGTTTACTGCTCGGAGACCTCAGAGTTCGCTGAAACTTGGCGCATAGGGGTTATTCGACACGCGGATTACGACAATTATGCTTGATTAGAGGTACGGTAGGTTACGGTAGGCATACGGTATCTGCAAGTTTGTGTCGTTGAACTTGAATTTTGCAGGATTTCAACAGCGTGGCACATCTAAGAACTTAGCTGCAGTCATTTCCCCTTAGAAACCGCTTTTGACCTTGGGTCGATACGACCCCCCCCCTACCTGCCCCCTCCCCTTACGAACCCCCCCCCCCCCTGCGGCGTGCTGCACCCCCCGCTTTACCCTGGTTATGATATATACCATGCCTGACTCCATGCAGTCATCGGTTTTCCGGCGGAGCAGATCACGCAACCTGGGCTTGTCCAAATGCGATCGTAGGAGCGGTTGCGTATCAATTGTTGCTTGAGGCAAGGAGGTGGTATGTCGACGACCCTGGCTATTGAGGTGAGCGCTAGCTTGGTCTGTCCTCTGGTAGTGTAGTAGTGTTTATCATAGTGTTGAGTTTTGTTTCTGTAGGCTGACAAGGTGTTTGAGCGAATAAGTCGCAATGTTTCTGACCTTTTCAGGCTCTGAAGAAGGCGACGCCGCCGAAATGTTAGCCGAAAATAAAGGTTATTGCCAATCTTGGCTCAAGGCTCAAAAAACAAACTCAAAGTTATACGCGATGCCGAGATTCAGTGACAATCGGACACGGGATGTCATCAGAGATGTACCAGCCAACTATAGCTGAATTGTCAAGGAAGTCCTTTCAATGCGACAGAAAATAGTACGCGAAAGGCAAGCTGTTCTCTTCCTTCGACGCTGTCTTCGGTACTATGTGATTCCGAAATTCATCAAGAACAAGAATCTCCATGCAACTTGTGGACTAGCAAAGGAAAGTCGGCAGTTAGAAGAAATCGAGAGGCAAATCCTACGAGCAGCAATAAAGTCGAAACAGGATCACATGTTCTCTATGCTGAAGAGATTTATCTATAAAGAACAGTGTTGCGAGCGCTTGGTGCCGACCGCCCTTTGGAAGAGAATAGTGAGTAGGTCAAAAAACATTTGTGATTCTGTCCGCTCTGATACTAAGTCAAAGTTATAGAGAAAGTTCGACAGATTGGTAGATACTCAAAAACAGAGGTACGGTATACCAGTTGATGACACTCCCTCAAGCCTAAATCAACCAGCCACCTCTGAAGTAACTCAAACTGCCCTCTCCAGCCCACGTGTATCTATTGTTGGCGATGTTTCTCTTTCTGCGGATGCGCTATCACTCCTAGGCATGAGACCTAGTTTTGCTCCAACTCAATCGATAGGCCCCATCGTGAAGCGTAAGATCGTTGGTAGCCTACAATTGGTTCATGAGCGCCTGCGACATAAAGCTAGACAAGATAGTGAAGAGCGCGGCGTACACAACGGTGCTAGTGCTGGGAATGCATGGACGTTGCAAAATCTGCTGGCATACCAAAAGCGTTAGTATCACAGTTAAAATGCGATCTTCCAAAATGCTCAGTTCTCTATGTTCTACTCAAAATCCATAAGCTCACCGGTCTGAACCTCACTTCGCTAGACCCCGCAAACTTCAAAGTAGGGCCCATTATAAGCAGTTTTGGAGGTCCTAATGATAGAATATCCTGGCTGTTGAATCTTATCCTGACGCAGCTGCTTCAGTATGTACCTGCCCATCTTTCCAATACCCAAAAGTTCCTTGAACATCTCAGCAAAGCTCAGCTCGATGGACAGTGCGTAATAGATGTTACCTCGATGTTACCTCCTTGTATACAAATGTCTCAAACGAAGCGGCTATGCAGGCTGTGTTTGAGCTTCTTTTGGAACATCAAGGCTCTCTCAATACGTATGGTTTCAATACCGCACAAATAATGACACTTCTGAACGAATGCCTAAACATCAATATCTTTCGCTGGTCGAGACAGTATTATAGGCAAGTCTGGCTATGGGGCAAAGTTTGGCTCCAACAGTAGCAATCGCTTTCATGTCCAAAATCGAAGCGCCAGTACTTGCCTTCTTAACAACCAGTTCCCTACCACTAAATTCAATCGGGAAAAACCCAGTGAAAACTGGCTTGCATTCTTGAACGTTCAAATACATTTGTCAGGTGGGTCGTACAAAACGCAGTGGTACCGCAAGCCAAGCAGCAAAAATATTCTAGTGCACTAACGCTCTGCTCATCCTTGGAGCACAAAAAAATCGGTTACGGCGGCATGTTCAAAACAGCCAGGGCAGTCTCGTCGGATGCGTACGGGCGCGCTGCATCAGTAAATCTGGCTAAGCAGATCGCGCAATCCAACGGTTATCCAGCGCAAGGTAGTCTGTCAAGGTACACTTGCCACCCAGAACGCAGGCAGCACACCGTTGACCAACCACCAAAAATTCCACTCTGTGTGCCTTACATTTCAGATGAGCTGAGCAGAGCTATTAGGAAAAGTTTGCAGCACGCTCGTTTTGTCAGGATCGTCGACATACCACCTCCTTGCCTCAAGCAACACTTGATACGCAACCGTTCCTACGATCGCATCTGCACAAGCACAGATTGCGTGATCTGCCTCACAGGAAAACCGGGTGACTTCATGGAGTCAGGCTTGATATATATCACAATTTGTCATGCGGGGACCAATACATAGGAGAAACAGGAGGCCGCTGTGCGTAAGAATTAAGGAGCACCTGGATGGCCTTCAAAAATCTAAAACTTCCACGCCACTAAGCGCCCATCGCAGGCAATGCCATGAAAATCAATTTTTTGAAACATCTGTCACGATCCTATCGCGAGAAACTGAAGTGGTAGCGCGAAAAACACTAGAGGCGTTCTGGATAACATCCAAGAACCCAAAAATGAACCGCAAAGACGAATGCATCGCTGTGACCAACGAATTGGCTTTATATCAAAACCTCTGTGGATTTTGATCTATGAGGTCGAGGTCAGATGCGCATAAAAGAAGCTAGTTTACTAATGAGGGCATTATCTCAGTCGGTGGTACTCGCTCTGTTTACCGTTAAGGCCAGGGTTGAGCAAGAGGTCAGGCACAAGTCTTTCCAAAACGACCCCCCCCCCCAGTGAAAGCCCATAAACGACCCCTCTGCTTCACCTCCAGGACCTCAGGCTGTGATAATTCGAAGAGATCAGCCGTTTTTGGGAGGTTCTTGTTTTTTGGAGGTCTGTAGGTCGACTTTCTGCGATTGCAGAGCACACGCAGCTTGACGGCAAGTTTTGGATTTTGGATAGCCTTACTTTTAGAGCTATAATTCCCACAGGGGTGTATTGTTTGGCTCCAAATTTGCAGTATCGCAAGAAGAGGCTTTGTGTTCAATACTCATAGCAGAAATGGAGCGATTTTTAGATTTTGAAAACAAGTTAATTGGGTCAGGCGCAACCCCTCAAAAGCTCAGGCGGCCTGACCTTTTGTGGGGTTGCGCCTGACCCGATTGACTTTATCATTGAAGAAGCTTTTTTATTCAAGTTTTATGTGAATCGCTAGCACAACCCTCGAAGATTCCACAGTAAGTGTTTGGACTTGATTCGACTTGTTTCGGCCTTGTGGTAATCCGTGGAGTTAGAGCAGTCATGGCGAAAAACGCGCCGGTCGGAATTTTGGCATTATTTCTTACTCCACTATTTGCAAGCGATACAAAGCGCGATTATTAGCCTAGACTAGTGGGGAACAACACTTTGTTACGAGTACAAAAAAGTGACTTTTCTCACTTTTGAAAACAAGTTAATCATGTTTGAAAATCACGCTTTTTAGTCGTTGAGAAACACTAGATAATGCAGTAAATAATGGTTTGTAGGCCTCTTAGAGGTAATTTGACGTGCTCGGAAATGATACCCATTTCACACAGCAAGCTTCTTTGATGAATTTATAATATGTCAAGGTAGAAGATGAAGATTTGAGTTTTGGCCTAAACTTCGATTGTGAAATCAATCAGTATGCTGTTTAAGACCGTTCATTCATTCCTTCAGTACTGGTGAGGTCGCGATATCCAATAAACTAGCGCTTTTCTTCTTAACCTTAATCGTAGTATCTCCTCAATCGAACGAATTCGATTCCTAATCACGACCCCCCCCCCTCTGTCTTACCCCAGTACGACCCCCCAGGTCGGGCGCGCCTGACCCCACGCTCAACCCTGGTCAAGGCTGTTGAGGTGAGCGCTAGCTTGGTCTTTCCTCTGGTAGTGTAGTAGTGTTCATCATAGTGTTGAGTTTTGTTTCTGTAGGTTGACAAGGTGTTTGAGCGGATAAGTCGCAATGTTTCTGACCTTTTCAGGCTCTGAAGAGGGCGACGCCGCCGAAATGTTAGCCCAAAATAAAGGTTATTGCCAATCTTGGCTCGAGGCTCA